ACTTCCTGCTTCACCTTGCACTTTTCTGTTATGGAGACGACTTCTTTCCTTAAATCTTATAAACCAACCTCTGCTAGCTTCAAACTTTTCTTCTGCAGATTCCTCACCTCTCTCAGCCTTCATAGAATTGAAGAGTTAGGACCTTGCTCTAGATTAGGCTTTGGTTTAAGAGAATGTTGTGGCTGGTTTGATCTTCTATCCAGAAGACTAAAACTTTCTCCATATCAGCAACAAGGCTGTTTTGTTTTCTTATCATTCATATGTTCACTGGAGTAGCACTTCAAATTTCCTTCAAGAACTTTTCCTTTGCATTCATAACTTGACCGTTTGGCTCAAGAGCCCTAGCTTTCGGCCTGTCTCGGCTTTCAGTATGCCTTCCTCACTAAGCTTAGTCATTTCTAGGTTTTGATTTAAAGTGAGAGACGTGCAACTCTTCCTTTCACTTGAACACTTAGAGGCCATTATAGGGTTATTAATTGGCCTAATTTCAATATTGGCATGTCTCGGAATAGGGAGGCCCGAGGATAGGGAAAGGGACAGAGGAATGGCCAGTCAGTGGAGCCATCAGAGCACACACAAAATTTATTTAAGTTCACCATCTTATATGGACATGGTTCATGCTGCCCCAAAACAACCACAATGGTAACATCAAAGATCACTGATCACAGATCACTGTAACAGATATGATAATAATGAAAAAGTTTGAAATATCACGATAATTACCAAAATGTGACACAGAGACATGAAGTGAGCACATGCTGTTGGAAAAATGGCGTCATTAGACTTGCTTGACCCAGGGTTGCCACAAACCTTCAATTTGTAAAAAACGCAATATCTGCAAAGCACAATAAAGTGAAGTACAAATAAAATGAGGTATGCCTGTATTGAATGATCAAAACGATAATTGAAATGTTTACAGTATAGATGTAGCTCAGAGGAGGTCTTGGTGTGGAGTGGGGTGGGTCAGGAAAGTTCTATCCCAAATCACATAGCTGGTGAAAGACAGAATTGGGATTTGAACCAGATCTGACTGTAGTGCTCAGACCCTTCTAACTAAATTGCTCACCTTGCAATCTGTGGGAAATCATTTTATATAATAAACTTGAAAATCCTCTACTAATTAAAAAGTAATTTATTCTTCCTAACTTCTTCCTTGCCATCAGGGGAAATACCTCCTAATTTTTCTAGGCTCAACTCAAGGGTCATCTCCCTTTTGAAGACTTTCTTGACATCTTCCACACCACCAACCAACAATTGACCCCTCTCCTCTTCTTCCCCTACCAAGTCTGATTCAACCCTCTGTCAAGGCATTTGTAACAATTTTTGGACTTATTTTCTTATCTGGCTCATCATGATAGACTGTGAGCTTCTTTAGGGCAAGAACTATGTCTTGTTTATCTTTGTATCTCTTATGTCCAGTGTCTGGTGGGACCTTAATAAATGATGGGTGGATAGGTAGATGAATGATTTCCAGGTGTACTAGGTGCCACCTTTAAGCTTTCAGACATATCCTATAGTCACACCCTTGATATGATTTTAACCCCGAGGCCTTATTTTACTGGCATCATCCTGGGTTTAATCTTTGCCTATAGGTTTTAATTCACTTTAAGAGTCTTTTTCCATATGCATCTTATCTATAGATAAGAAACAGTTTTATTTTGCAACCCAGCAAGTGTTGGTCCACTCATAAACTCCCAAACCAAACACATTGCTGTTGAGTCGATTCTGACTCATAGCGACCCTGTAGGACTGAGTAGAACTGTCCCATAGGGTTTCCAGGGAGCAGCTGGTGGATTCGAACTGCTGACCTTTTGGTTGGCACCCGAACGCTTAACCACTGTGCCAGTAGGGCTCTGCCTGTAAATTGTACTTCCAACTGAACTGTTCCTTCTTTATTTTATCTCTGTCTCTCATACTTTATCATCCACAAATTAAAAAAAAAAAAATAACAAAAAACTCACTGATACTTTCAGCATTCTGCCTTGAAATCTTATTAGCCAGATCCACAAGTTCATTAGTTACATTTTCTAAAGTATTTTTCATTTGATAATTAGATATATTTTCTACATTTTGTTCAGTCTTCCCAATTGTTCTACCACTAGATAACATGGATTATTTTTTTTGAGCCTCTAATAGTTGTTCTTCTAGATTCCACTAACAGTCTCCTCACTGCTGCCTTTCCAGCTTCTACCTGCTCAGTCCCATGCCACATGGTTTAGGGTTTTGTTACAGCAGCAGCACTCCATTCCTGGTATCATTTTTTGTTTTGGTTATCTATTACTGTGTAATAAACAACTCCAAAACTTAGACTTAAAACAACAATGATTTAATACTTCTCACCATCCTGTAGATTGATAATCTGGGTTGATTCTTTTACTGGTCTCACCTGGGATCACTCATGTGCCTGCAGTCTTCTGATGGCTTGACTAAAACTAGAGGATCCAGTTGGTCTCACTCACATGTCTGGAAATTGGTGCTAGCTGTCAGCTAGAACACCTTGGTTCTCCTCCACATGGCCTCTCATCTTCCAATAGGCTAAGTGGATTTCTTTACAGTAGGGTTGTTTCAGAATTCCAAGAGAATGAGATCACCCTCTTGATGGGAGGAAGGACACCAATGCATTGCAAAGGGGTGAGATTAATTGGAGACCATTATTACAATGATCTTTCACATTCCTCATGCTGCTTTTGGTAGGAGAAGAGTTTTCAGCAGAGAATGCAAATTGATAGGCTCATGGACTATTTGTAGAACATCCACTGTGTGCTAGGCACTATTCTAGGTACTCCGGATACATCAGTGAACAATACAGAAAAGGATCCCTGCTCTCATGGAGCTTATATTTGAATGAGAGGAGATAGATAATAAATAACAAACATAATAAATCAGTAAATTTATGGTTTGGCCTTTACTCTGAGTGACACACAACCACTACAGGATTCTCAGCAGAGGAATGATATGATCTTTTTTAAAAGTCTGTGTAGAGTTTGATAGTTGATAAGTACTGTGGGAGAATAAAAAGGTAGAGCAGGATAAGGAGACCTGGAAATACTGGGGGTGAGGGTACATTATTAAATAAGGTGGTCAGGGCAAACCTCACTGACAGGGTGAAACTGAGCAATGCCTTGAAGGAGGTGAAGGAAGGAGTTAGCCAAGGGGAGATCCTTCCAGCCAGAGGCCCTCATGGGAACGTGTCTGGCATGTTTGAAGATCAGCAGGGAGCTCAGTGTGGCTGGAGCAGAATGAGCAAGAGGGGAGAGAGATGGAATCAGAGAAGTAACTGGGCCAGACCATTGAAAGGACTTCTGCTTTTACACTGAGTGAAATGCGCAGCCATTGTGGGGTTTTGAGCAGAGCAATGAAATGATACTGTAAAAGGCCTACAAAGTTTTTTGTTTTTTTTTTTAATTTGATGCCAATCTTTAAAAGCAAGGAAGGAAATCATACACAACTATGAATTTCTTTCTGACCTTAAGAAGTTGGGAGACTTCCTGATACTGGGTCCACCCTCCTACACGGCAAACATTAGCTGGGGCTCAGTAGCAGCCGCCCCTGGAATCAAGGCCTGTGCACTCCATTTCACAGTTGTCCTTACCTCTTCTTCCTGACTAACCCTCCTCCCCCTCCACCTGCCTGGCCCCTCTGGCATTTGAGTTTACAATTGCTTGTCTAGAGTAACACTGTCCAGTAGAACTTTCTATGATAACGGAAATATTTTTTCATCTGCCTCTAGCCACGTGTGGCTGTTGAGCACTTGAAATGTGGCTCGTGTGACTGAGAAACGGGATGTTTAATTTTATTTGGTTTTAATAAATTTAAATTAAATAGCCACATGTGGCTAATGCCTACCATATTGGACAGTACATGCCAGGAGCATCCCTGTCAAGGTCTGTTCTAATTTGAGGCAGCCTTGGAGATCTCGGAGAGAGTGAGTGAGTGCTCACGCGGATTAACCAGTAAGCAAAGTATGCACAGGCTTACATTAAGCAAGGTACGTATACCTTGTTTATTAGGTAAGCTGTCCCTCGCTCATGGAATTCTTTCTACGTAGGTTGAGCTGTAAGGTACAGACCTGATGTCTGGAGAGAGAAAAGGATGAAAGAAAGCCTGACACTGAGGCCGTAACTCTAGTCCAGGCCCTTCAACAGCCCTTAGGCTGGACTTGTATTCCTAGGCCAATCCTAGAAGCCTCAGGAGTTTTAAGCATGAAGTCTTCCAAGAAGAGTGAATTCTAAAGTCCAGAGTCATCATTTAAAAACAAAAAACCAGATGCCATCCAGTCATTTCTGACTCATGGCAACCCCATGTGTGTCAGAGTAGAACTGTGCTCCACAGGGTTTTTAATGGATGATTTTTCACAAGTAGCTCTCCAGGCCTGACTTTTGAGGTGCCTCTGGAGGGACTCAAACCTCCAGCCTTCTAGTTAGCAGCAGAGTGCGTTAACTGTTCACACCACCCAGGGACTCCAGAGTCATCATTAGGCATTATATATTCTAAAGCTAAGAAGTGCCAGCACAATAATATTCAGATTTAATAAAAGGGCAGACTCTCTCTCTCTCTACTTTCCCTTTGCACCTTGAGGTGCAACAAATCATCATCGCTTTCAAGGTTTGTGAAAGAACTCATGCATGTATGGCTTTCAAACTGATAATTATATAGGTCTGGTCACAGAATTCCTAGTCTCTTTTGATTACTATTTTAGGTTAACATATCACAGAGATTTGCCAAGGCAATCTTTTCACAACTGCTCTCAAAGGCTTCTCTGTGTGAGTAAAAGCTATTGACCTTAATTCTCCTTATCAAGTGCTCTACCCTGCTCTGTGTAAGTTCTAATACAAAGCCAGTAGTAGTGTGTACTCCCGACAGTGGAACTCCTGTGTAAGTATTTTCCATCTTTGTGCATGACTGCCATGGAAGAGGGGTAAAGATGGGGAGTAATTAGGCAGGTTCCTATAGAACATAATCGACTATGTGCCAATGTTGTCCTGTTTGTTTTCCTCCAGGAAATCAAGGATTGCCATGGCATTGCTTTGACAAGCACTTCTGGTTATCTTCACAGAGAACTCACTGAAGAATCATCTCAAAGCAACATCTTTCTCCCCATCCCTCTTTTAATGTCCATTTTTAAGTGGACTGGGAAAACATCAACCACGCGTGTGCTTGGCCTGCTCCAGGCAGCCAAATGAAGCTTTCTTCAAGTTGTTTCTAGAACCGTACTGCTGAAGCACCTCCCGGTATTGGGTAAATGTTCATGAAGTCCTTTTCTGAACCAGCTTAGGAGGCTTAGACCTCTTAGAGCCTGTGGCATGGAAGCTTTGGAAGTGGATGATATCAGCCCGGCCTTGGAAGTTACTGAGGATTTCTTTAGTTCTTTTGATAGTAAGATAGAAAAGGCTGTACAGCAAGCAGAGGTTTATGGGATTCAAGAAGTCCCTGAACTGGTGGGGCATGAAGTATTCAGTAACATACCAGACAATGGTGCTATCAGGAATGTTGCCTCCCTGGGCAAGGGGGGCATGATTTGGGACCACTGTAACAGCAGGCTCTTAGAAACCAAAGCTCAAAATATCTTCCCTGCCAAAGAACAGTTTATGGTTCAGAGAGGGGCAACTCCGGATAATCTTTCCTGGATGGAACAAAAGGAAACCTCAACCTTTAATTTTTTCAACATTTGCCAGCGTCGGAGGGACAGACCTCGATCTGTAAATGACTTATTGGATGAGACCTCTACTTTCAAGCCAGGGCATGCTCGATCAAGGTCAGATATTACTCAAGTGGACTGGAGGGTAGTCCTCAAAACCACACCTTTGCAGCAGCAGCAGCAACTGTCTCTTCAGGGCCCTCACTTCACCAGGCTGTCTTTTCTGTCACCTTCAACAAGTAAGGTAGAAGATGCTCAAGGAAATACTGGTATGTTTTTCTATCAGACTGCTATTAAACAATTGTTGATTTTCTTTTATCTTTCTTACATCTACCTCATGAGAATCTTACTCTCCAATATCCGTGTCTCACTTTGCTTACTTTAAAAACTCCCTCTTCGTTTTACTTTTCTATTTGGCCTCAAGGCAACAGTCTTACTATCTTCTTAAAAGGTACTGAGTGAAAAGACCGAAACCAAAAACCAAACCAGTTGCCGTTCAGTTGCCACTGACTCGTGGTGATCCCATGTGTGTCAGAGTAGACTTTGCTCCATAGGGCTTACAGTGGCTGATTTTTCAGAAGTAGATTGCCAGGCCTTTCTTCCGAGGTGCCTCTGGATGAACTCGAACCTCCAACCTTTCGATTAGCAGCAAAAAAAAAAAAACCTGAGTGAAAAGATAACTATGGTTACTTTTCTCATTCTCATGTTGTCTGTTAGAATCGGAGTATTCTCATACTTACTGTAGTATTTTCCTTTGAACATTGTATGATACTGCTTGTTCACAACAGTCAATGTTTACTGGATAATGAATTGGGCTTAGCATCATGTTATGAAGGATTCAAAGAAGTATGAAGACAGGATCCCTGCCTTAAAGAGCTTCTCATGTAGTTGAGGAGATCAGACTCAGACAGACTCAGGAAGGTACCCAGGAATGAGAGACAGCAGGTGGTTAATTGAAATTGTTTGTGAGGGAACTTTTGTGTTCCTCTATATTGTTGGGATTTTTTTGATGAATGAGTGGCAGTGACTATTAGTGGACAAAGGAAGGAGAAGACCCTGGAGGCTGGACTTGTCAGAAAGGGCTTCCTAGAGGAAATGGAACTTGAGCTGGACCTCAAAGTACACAAAGATGCAGAAAGAGGGATGTAGTAGAGGACACTGCAGTCAGGATCATGGTGTGAACAAAGACGAAGAGCTGGGAGTACAGAGGAGAACAAGCTGACCCTTGTGTGAGTAGAGCAAAGGGTCCCATGGTGAAGAGTAGGAGGGAAGGGTTGGAGAGATTGATTAGGAACTCATGGTGGAAGGCCTTAAATTCCTTTTTCCTCGTATTTTATAAACATGTATGTGTATACCAAGAGCACATGCATGCACTCACGCACTCACGCATGAGCTTTCTCTTCCCTGAGTCCTGAGACATGACAAATCATTGCTCCATTTCCCCTAGAATTTTCCCTCACAAGAACCTCATTTATAACTTTCATTACTGATGATTCTTCACTCACTCTGCTCAACTCTTAATTTAGATTGCTTCTCCTCAATTAACTAGGGAGACTATTTTATGTATTTACTGCCATTTTAGTGTTACTTCAGTCCCTATCATTGCTTGGTAATCTATTGATAAATTTATCATTTTAATTAATAAAATTCAGTTTGTAATTGTAACCTGAGGCAAGGCTGTGTTTGTTAAGGAAATGCAGTGCTCTTGCCTATGAGGTGCCTCATTGTTTTGACATCCAGTTGAAATGTTTTGGTTAGATGGGTTTTATTATCCCTCCCAGCCTTTTAAAATATTTTTTCCTTACTCAGACTTACGATTTGTATTTCTTTTTCTTTTCTCCTAGACTTTCACCAGTCTTCTGTAACATCAAGTCAAGGGTGGTGACCATGGGAGTAAAAAGAAAGGGACAATATAAAGCACAAGACTTGATAACCGATTATGTATTGGGGGACGTACAAGTTGCTGTGACCTAGGTGCCTGATGGAATGACGGCTTTGTCCCTGAGCTCATGTACAAAAGGCGCACTCTTTGATTAGCAAATAACTTCAGTAGTTTTCTGGTTTCTTAGAGTTCACATAGATTTCTTTCTATCTTTAAACCACCTTTACTAGTTTAAATCCCTGGCATAACCCAAGTTAACAGAATGTCATTTATTTGTTTATTTTTTCCCTATCTTGTCAGAGGCTTAGTGAGGGTAACGAGCGCCAGGGGCAATTTCTAAGTTTGCGCTCCCTCCACCTTGTGAGGGGGGTTGGTGATTTGCCAGTGGGCCTTATCTGGCACCCCCTTGGATTTGCATCTGGGGGACAGATGCCTCCCTCTAACCCTCCTCCTCACTATGCCCCTGTATCCTGTTCTGATTGCAAATGCAAGGACCTTCCTTATATTCTCTAAAGTTCTAGACTTCTTTCTTGAGTATATGACAGACCCTGATTATTATTTTTTAGTACTCAATTTTAAAAAGAAGTTGGGCATTAAACTATGTAGAAATATAAGTACTGAGTGGTATTTTGAAAAGTAAAGTGCAACAAATGGCCTCTGCAGGTATTAATGTAATATAACGAGGCCACCTTTTAGTCATCCCATGGTATCCACATCCTAGCAAGAATTAGCAAACTTGGAGAAATGGCATGCCAGGTTTCTGACACCTTTTCTTTCTAGCATGTTCTGGAGAGGTGGCAAGAAAATGTTGTTGCTCACCAGGTGAAGGGCAAGCAGTAAGTGCCCACTGGCCACCCAGAGGAGTTCCAGATACATGGCTGACCACCCACTCTGCTGACTGTAATTCTCACAAGTGAGGGGGCACAGGCCAACACCCAGGTGCATACTAGTCAAGATCAACCAAGATCTTTGGGTGAACTTTACTCTGAAATCTTTAAAATTAGCCATCCAAACTGAAGAAAGGTTCATTGTTTCTCCTGGAGGAATATGCCAAAAGCAGAGGGTAGCAGTGTAGCATCTTGGCTAGAGCTGGAAATGAGGACCCAGGAGACTTCGGGCCAGGCCGACCTGTTTCTTGAACTTCACACTCACATAACTGAGTGCCTGGTGAGCATCTCTGGTGGCATATTCCACAGGTATCTCAAATTCAGAGTGTCTAAAAACGATTCATCATCCTCCTGTCTCCTACTCCTGCAGTTCTAAGAATTAACAAAGGTGTGTCCAGAGGCTCGGGGCTCCTCACAAGTAAAACGTAGTGAAATGGGTTTCCTTTGATGAGATCAACTGGGCTTAGTGTCTAGCTCTGCCACTCTCTTACTTATGGGCTTTATCACTGCATGGTCTTATATTTTCCCAGTTGATTCCCAGCCTCAAACCACCCCCCCGCCTTCTGAGCTCACCTTGAATAGCTTAAAGGCATGGTAGTGATTTTTTACTCCTCCTCCACCTCCTTATCTTTCTGCTCCCATCACCTCCCCGCCTCCCTCCCATGTCAACAAGTTAAGAGTCTTCTTCATTAGGTGGACCACTATGTCTTCTGCCTCAATTGGTGATAAATAACTGGACTCTTGAGCCTTACTGAGGATAAATGCTGCTTTGGGTTTAAAGCAGATTGGGTTCTTACATAATGAAGTGTATACACACAGTAGAAGGTGGAAGAACTCTGAAGTAGGACTCAAGAAATATCTTACCCAACTCTACCTCTAATTTACTGTGTTGGTTTGGAAAAATCACTTATTGTCTATTATCTTTGGTTTATAAGCCTAAAGAGGCAGGTTCTCTACAATCCTTCCTACCTGTTAAATTATATCATGCCAGGATGTATCTGAACTGACCCTGACTTACAGATGTGTGGGAGCTAATTACCATAGTCAGTTCAGTAATAATAAGGTTATGATAGAAACATAGGTATGGCTGAAATTATTTAACACAGAAAGATTTCTGTGTGCCTTATAACTCTACTTCTGGATGAACTGCTGTTGCAATTTTTAAAATAAAAATTTAAAAAAATCCTTTGCAATAGCTATCAAGCTCTGAAACTCAACAAACTGCCAGAATCTAGCTTACTTTTTCATCCCCGACTGTGTTCACATTTTCATCTACTTGGCAAGGGCAGTGGTCAACTGGGTTTTTGTTTCAGTCGATTTCACTTTCTGGTGACCTGGTATCATTCCTATACCTGTATTTTTTGTTCCAACTACTTCAGGAGAAGGGCTCAAGCAGAGATTTTCTTTGGGGCTAGAAAAGCCATGGCAGTATAGTTTCTTTATCCTGGGTTTTTTGTCACTCTGCTTCAGTTCCCTTTTCCCCATCTTTAAAAAAAAAAAGTCAAATGTGGAACTTTGACTAAAATGACTGCTTTTTTCAATTATGATATTTCTTAAAAGCCTGGAGCCAGTAGAGGTGGGAATATTCCTACGGGCTTAGAACAAGTGAGGTCACCAGGACGTGGTCTCTTGCTGAATTTATGATTCACCCTTTAGCAAGATTAGTCAGTACAAAGAAGTTGCTAAAATAGGTCACAGAAAGTTGATTTTATATGGTTGTATAGTTTCTGTTGGTTATGTTATTGAATGTTGGCCCGTGGCAGCTATTTGGAAACTCAACAAGGCTCAACAACAGCCCTCATTCTGATTCTCAATATTTCTGTATAGGAACTCTGAAAATGAAGTGTCTAACATTTTTTATAGTTGTTCTGTTAAGTATATTTTGTGTTCCTTGGTTAATGTCTTAGTCAGGGTTCTCTAGAGAAACAGAACCCAGAGAAAGAGAGAGAGATTGAGATTGATTGATTGATTTTAATAAATTGGCGCATATGATTTTGGGGGCCTGGCAAGACCAAAATGCTCAGATCAGATGATAGGCTGGAGATTCCTGCAGTCTTGTGTCCCATATCCAAGGGTCAGGCTATAGGCTGGATATTCCTGTAGTCTTGTGTTCTAAAATCAGTAGGTCAGGCGATAAGATGGAGAGTCCTGCAGTCTTGTCAGGCAACAGGAAGAGTGAAGAGTGGAAGAATTCTGGCATTATGTCTGTTTATAGTCTGGAGGCAGAATACACCCTAGGGAAGACTCTTTTTGCTCTTAAGGTCTTCAGTTGATTGGAGGAGGCCCACCCACATTATGAAGGGTAATTATGAAGGCTTTACTTAAGGCCAACTGATTTAATCACATATAAATACTTCATAACAGCATCTAGTGTTTGACCAAAGAACCGGGCACCATAGCCTAGCCAAGCTGACACATAAAATTAACCATCATAGCTACAGAGAGCAATGGTTACTGGTTCTACAAACTGCTAGTGTTACCTTTCTAAAACACAAATTGT